GGGGGGGGGGGTTTAATACCTGTGGGTACTGGAGAAGCATCAGTGGGAAGGCAGAGTGCAGCACAGCACAGCCCCTGGAACGGGACACGCCGGCAAAGCGCGGAAAAACCCCTGGAAGACTCCGGCACAACTGCCATCCTTCCGGGCCCCTGTGTGTGTGCGGGCCGGGATGCTTCGCTGCGGACCGGATGGGCAGGACCAGTCTGAGGTGCAGAGTGACAGTGACTCGGAACAGGAGGATTTATTTTAAGCGCCAGCTATTAGGCTGCATATTAGTCACTTATGGGTGACGTGTCTGGGTACAAGCCTTAAAAATAACCGACAAAGCCTTGTATGGTGTCTAGAGCTTGGCAAGAGCTCGTTAAAGTTTCAAACTAATGTCGGATTGTGGCCTTCGAGCTGCCGGGGAAAGAGACTGCTCTATCTTGAAGGGACCCCCCCCCCCGGTGAGGACACACCCCCTACCCCCTCCCTCTTTACCGACACCTCGACAACCAGAACAATGCCTCCCTCCTGGATACCGTCTCCTAGCAACGCGACGCAAGGGCTAAAAATAGAGGCCTGCGCAGTGCACACCAGGGGGCATGTGTGAAGGTATGGGCTATATACAGCAGGGCCAGGTCTGCCCGTCTCTGCGCACTGCAGCCCCCAGGAAGAAATACGTCTGTCTGGCTACCTCCTGAGCAGAATCAATCTGTCTCTGTAGGTACCAAGAAATCAGGCTAAACCTCAAAACAACGAGACTCACACATAAAGAGCTACACATCTCTGTACCTTATCTATCCGTCTCCCTAGGAACCAGTATTTCCACCTCTGAAAGGCATGAACACTGAAAGCAGCGCCATTTTGCTGGATTTTTAACGTCTCTCAGTAGAGATGTAGTCGGAAGACATGTACAGACTGGACCTGAACCACCGGACCAGCTGTCCCCCTGGTCTAACAAGACTGGCCCTGAACCACTGGACCAGCTGTCCCCCTGGTCTAACAAGACTGGCCCTGAACCACTGGACCAGCTGTCCCCCTGGTCTAACAAGACTGGCCCTGAATCACTGGACCAGCTGTCC